TGACCAAACGGCAATGGAATATCAAAGTCTAGCAACCTGTCACAAAAGCACAAGATTAATGGTGAATCACTTGGAGACAAAGGGACCATGGGGGAATCAGACGTCTGTCAGCGTCGGACGCCCCAGTTGGTGGACCCGACGTCCAGAAGCATATTTGTTCCTATTCGCTCCCTCCACTCCTCTCTGGTCTCCGCAGATAAAAAAAATCAGGCATTACTGCGACTGTGCTCCACGATCGGCTCCGCCGCGGCTCCCGCACGCCTCCCTCTCTATCGCGCCTCCCGTCGGCCTTCCCCTCCACCGCCGCCGCGCCCGCACCGCCACGGCATGCTCGCCACGCAAGGCCGCACCACTCGACTGCTATTGTCGCCTCCACCGTGGGGACCACGTGCACCCTATCGCCGGGGGCAGCGGTGCCGCTCACTGAGGCCGCACTGCTGCCTGCCTGCTGCCATCCTCCTTCTCCACCGCGCGCGCGCACAGCCGCTGTGTCGTGCTTTGTCCGCCTGGCTGCCATGTTTTGCTGAAAGCACATGTTGCAAACGTATGTTTCGAATGTACTCGTGTGTTGCATATGTTGCAAAGGTTGTACACATATGTTGCAAACGTTTGTTACCAATGTTTTATCTGTGTTTTTCGAACGTATGTTGCAAAGTGTGTTTATCTGAATGTTGTATATGTTTCACACATACGTTGCATGTGTATTATCTAGATGTTGCGTATGTTTGCAATGATTTTTCAGGTGTTTTTAGGTATTTTTTCAAGTGTTTCATAAGCATGTTTAAGTGTTCATCTACCTTTAGACGTACTCCCTCCGTCCATGAAAGAATATAATTCTAGCACAATATTATAGTTTTGTGTCTTAAGTTCGATCAATTATAGATAAAAAGTATCAATATTTATGATATCAGATAAATATCATTAGATTAATTATAAAATATATTTTTATAATAAATTATTTTTGAGCCGTAAATGTGAATAATATTTACTAGAAATTTGATCAAACGTGAACTACTTTTGTTAGCACGCAACACGTAATTGTATTCTTTTCTAGACGGAGAGAGTATGTTACAACTGTTACATATGAATGTTTTAAAATCAAATCAGGTATTGCATCTTTCCTCCTTGCCTTCTGCTGTATCGTCTCGGTGTGTCTCCTCCCGATGTCGGCAGGGCATCCATAAAACGCTGCGGTCGGATCCTTTCGAATCGAAGGTGCCGCCTCCTTCTCCTCTTGTCGCTCGGACGACGCGGGCCCCACATAGAGTGCGTGAAACAACGACATCCGGATGCTAACACCGCCGCACATGCTAGCCTACGCTACCGTCCAGGCCAACGATTGCGATTAAAGTCTACGAAGGGCAAGTGGACGAGATGAAAATTCAAAAAGGTGCTTTTCTGACACAAGCTGATCTGCAATTCACTCGTACTTTAACTCTTGTTCTAGAACTGAGGATTATAGCCTTTAAAAAAATCGACACTGGTACAGAGAGCTGATGGGCATACTTTTATGGTATCCTGATCTCTATGGGTCTATTTCTTTGGCTATGATTTATCGTAAATGATTATAAATTTTTAACTGAAACAATATTTTTTTCTCACACAAATCAGATAACAGTACTTCTTCACGAACCAGCAGTAAAACAAACCAGCCAACCGAATATGCTCTATATTGAAATCCTGCTTCCAAAAGCGAGCACCCGATAGTGTCACGTCACCCGCTAACCCATCAATCGTTCGATCCGGCAAACAAGTGAAATCGACCGTCGGATCAGGGTCTTCGCGGGTCTCTACCTGTTACGCCGCAAAATCGGGCCATCGCGAATGCTCGCGAACCCGTGGACCGCGGACTCATCCCCTCCGCCTACGACTGCTGCACTCGCGGCCGTGACTACGGGGCGCCCCGCCCATCCCGGCATGGGTGGGGGCCCCAGAGGCACCGGCAATCCCGGCGTAGGCGGGGTGCGAGCGCAGCGGTCCCGCCCGCTCCGGTCGTGGCCATCCCAGCGCGAGCGGAGGCCCCAGCGACCCCGGCTAGGTCCCGCGCGGGTGTGGCGTGGCGGCTCTGGCCACCCCGGAGCCATCCCGGCAGGAGCAGGTACCGGCCGCCGCGCGTGGCCAGGCGGCCAGGGGCCATCGCAGCCCGGCTGCAGGCGCGCCTCGTCTCCCTGCCGCTTCTCCGCCGCCGCTAGCGACCACGTCTAGCTACGGGCTGCAGGCCGAGGAAACACACGCAACGCAGCTGACCTCACCGCAAAGCTTCTGTGCGTGGCTGCCGCCACCGTAGCCCGGCTCCCGTGGGTCGTGTCGTGAAGCAAGCCTGCATTGGCGCACGGCCGTGGCTGGGTTTGCACAACGCCTATCGACGGCAGTTCGTGGATGATCGGGGATGGTGCCAGTGCCAGCAGCTGTCGTGCACGCTGCCTACTTGACGAAATGCCATTTGTGGGATTGACCACGCTGCCATAGCAGGCATGCACCCCTATGGTCCTTCACCTGATAGATATGGAAAGCGACGAGGAGAAGGAGAGGATTGACGCCAACTACGTCTTGTTGTACCTTGAGACCTTCCCCAGCCGGTGGTGGACAACGACGATCCCTCTGAACAAGCATCTCTATAACACAGGTACGCAAACAACTGAAGGAAAGAAATGCATCAGAGTTGCCAGCTCAAACACTTCCGTTACTTAAATTCCAACATGCATATAACAATAAACTTCCTTGATTTACATGATATGGATTTGAGAAGCGGAAAATCAAAATGCTGGAATAAATGATGAATTTTTAGGCCAATCATACACAGATAAGGAGCTCATCGATAAAATCTGTTTTTCATTGCATGATACTTTGCATATGTCAGTTTGTAAATTCCATTAACATCAATGTGTTATTATTCACTGAAAATTGTATCTTTTATTATGAATTGTGCGGCTGCTTGTCAATTAATTGTCAGACTGTCCAATGCATTAATCACATTAATCTTATTATAATTTCAAAGTACATGTTGCTTTCAAGTTACTTTTCTTTACTGTGTATATGCTTAGCTACCGCGTGCTCCACACCTCAAGTATATTCTTGGATCTTAATTGTTTCAACTGCATTTTTGTAAAATCCTAATTTGGTCATTGCAGAGTGCTCCCTCCTAATTCTAATTCCATGACTCTCTCGGCCTCTCTGTTTCTTTATTGCACTTGCAGAATCTTACATGTATTTTATAAGATATAACTACAAGTGCAGGGCGAGCTTAGAAGCCTAATCCTGACCCTTAACCCACCACCAGTTTTGCTGCAATCGAATTGACAACTGCATTGTCGGCCGCCATCCTTAAGCCTACTGCTGATTTCAGAGGCTCCCGTGGGTGAGAGAGGAGTGTGGGAAACCAGAAGGTAAACAATCCTCATTCAACTTCTACTCTTGATCTATTTAATTGGGTTTATAAATAAGCCAGATTTAAGTTGTTTTAAACCATCGACATCCCCTTTGTTCTTATTTTACTTGGCTAGATCATCTAATTTGAACCCTGAAAATCACTACCAGAAGTTGCAAATCATCTGCCTCCCCTCTATTCTTAAACTACTCAGCTAGAGCATCTATTTAGCCATGAACAAAACTAAATATATAGCAAGCACCAGCCACCAGTATGAAAAGTGAATAAAGGAAAAAAAGAGGTGGGTGACACCATTGCTAACCTCTGTACTGCACAAGCAGCATTGTTCTATCATTTCCTCCGGAATTGCCAGAAAATTTAGCTTTCTATTTAGGTTACGTAGCTGTTATGCATAGTATATTACCGAAAAGTGACAGCCACATGATAACCGGATCAGAGCTAGCACATACAAGCTGGCCCCTTCACCGAAGAGCGCGGCAACGCCGCGCGTCTTTCTAGTGTCATCCATGTCACTACCTACCAAATCAGCTTGACTATGGTGTATTCTCAAGCATTTTGTAGAAATTCTCCAAGAACACATGTTGTTCCGTTGATGGGAGAATCCTTACCAAACGGTTTTAGGATTCAGAATCAGAACAAAAAAAAAAAATTTAGTTTCTTAAAAAAATATTTCAAGGTTCTCCAAAAACCTGAAAAAGCCTAGTTTCATGAGAATCAAAATCAGTCTCTTCAGGAACCTTTTTATAAAACTGAAAGCTGCCAAACGGGGCTCTATAACAAATATAACCCTCCATTTGTTTTTACAAGGAGCATCCATTTCTTTTATAAGGAGCACACGCATTTTTGGATTCAGAGTTCATAATCGTCAGCTAAGAATCAGCCTATGCAAACCTTTTTTTGTGCAAAAGTCATATCCTGGATCCGTATTTGAAAGCACTCTCTTATATTTATGATTTGTTGCTAGAAACATTATATTATAAGAGAAAATTATAGATCAAAGCATACCAGGTCAAATCACGCCTGATATTTTGAATTGGAGGGAGTACAATGCTCGTGGACCTGGTTGCCTCTAGTCTTAGCTTAACTCGGTATGAGTTCAGAAAGAAAATCCTGGGATTACAATGATAAGCTTGCACTCATTAAAAAATGTTTTTTCTTATATATTTTTCAATCTTTACCTGTCGAAGCTATAAATGTCTCAGAAAAAACAACCCTGGTACAGACACATAATGGTAAAAAAAAAAAGAAAAAAAACCTACAGATAGGCTCCCCCTACCACAAATTTACAACAGTACACAAACACCTGCAGCTCACGGAAGTAAAATGTTTTCTTGTTAGACTAGAGTGTACAAAAATGGAGCGCTTCTGAATTGTTCCATTTGCTTGTGTGAAATAACATATCGAAGTGTACACGACGACCATCTTACTCGCTGGTATCTTTGCCGGAAGCAAGTTGGCAAGCTCACCAAGAGTTATCTGATGAGCAATTGTTTGTAAACTACGCAAGTGTGCCAAGAGTTCCAGAGCAAAAGCCACAGTGCATTGATTCACCTATTTCTGGAACTTGGAGCTGCAACAGGAGCTACTCAATTGCAGCAATCGGAAAGCAACATCAGTTGAATTTGCCAATTTCCATCTTCTTCTTGATTGCTCTTTGGCTATGGTATACAAATGAATCTATGATTCCAGAAACGGTGAACACACCTGCACATCAAGAACAATAATTCTTAGGTAATAGGTGCAACTGCTCCAAGGATGTAGAAGACTTGGTTTAATTGTCGAAATTCCTACTTTAGATACCTTGAAGACATAACCAAACCAGGAATGGTCTAAATTAGTCAACAACCAGAGAGAGAAGAATCAGCAACCACAGTTGCAATTCAGCTCTCACTGATGATCTACCAGCTTTACCTCTACCATTGGCTATATTTTACACAGAAACACAGCTTTTACGTTGTTCATGGTCAAGCTGGCAAAGGGGGCAAATGCATGTTCAACAGGTCAAATGTTCAACTGAATTACAAGTGTGTACAACAAATATACTTATTGTAAACAGAAAAGGTGCACGACAGAGAGATTAGTTAGCATAAACAAAAATGGACAGATGGAATCATTACCTCCAACAATAGCGCAAACATTAGTTAAAAAGTGTAAAAATGACACATGTTGTTCCGTGAATGTGACCTGTAAAAGCCATTGATGAAAAATTACACTCCTGTACTGCAAAACGCATGTCAAGCAACTACAAATACAATGATTTCCAGCAAATCCAAAATTTACCATTACTGAAGGAGAATAAGCAAATCTCACATAAAAAAAACAAAAGCAAATGAGTAAAGTAGGCTACCCTTGCATTATCTATCTGCAATACAGTATCAAATGTAAAGTACATCGAGATGGTACCTTGATTGGAGAAAGGTCATAAAAGAAGAACACGCCAGGAAGAGCCTGCATCCGACCACTCTCACCACTTCTAAAATGTTCCGTTACAGAGAACTGTGGCAATGAATTACAAGGAATGCTTAAAATCACAATAGATACCGATATGTGCATCAGCAGCATGGTGTTTGCCCACAAAAAGAAAAAAGAAACAAAGAAACAAAGAAATTACCTGATTAGAGAGAATAATGTGTTCATTTATGTCAGTGTAGACTGTAGGAACAACCTGAAAGACCAGAGAAAAGAATAGTTTCAGATATTTTGAATTAAGTCATAGGTGTAACAGTAAGTATAAGAATATATAGAAAAAAGAAAAAACACAGGAGCAATCTAACTAGAAAGAGAACATATCGTTTGATACTTCTTTTAATTAGGTCTCAAAGGATAGGACAAACCTTGATGAAGTATTGATACATTCCATATGATGAAGGCTGCACCCAATTTGCCCTGCATGTTTAACAAGTAAAGAATCTTAGATTCTCACTTAGATGCACCCTAGTAACAAACCCAACAAACAAATATATGAAATAAAAATAACATTATAGGAACAGGAAACTACCCGTTGAGTGGATTAACAACACCAGGAAAGTATTCTCCAAAACTTAGTCTGTTTATCTTATGGCTGACCTGGCATTGTAAAGAATAAAATGGTTAGTGTTAATGCAATGATGCTAGTGAGAAAATGACAAATCTTCCTGTCAGTATGCACAGCTATAAAAATCATTTACATATTTTCTCAAGTATGATTACATTGAAGCTGTCCTTCTGGAACGGAAGCAAGTCATGGACGTGCACATTTGACTGCTGGAAACTTTTCCCTGGAGCAAAATGGAAATTCCCAGCAACCTTATTAACTTCAATGAAGCCATAAATATTGCATCCTTCGCCTTCTTCATCCTTTATACTTTGAAGAAAGCCCTCCCTTTTGCACTACAGAACACCACACATCAGACATAATAATTGTCTTGAAGGTAAAGGGGACATTGACTACATAAAGTGATATTTTCTTTTTGGTAGTTACAACAGATGTTCTTTTCTGGTAATTACATCAGATGGTTCTACCTGGTCAAGCAAATCTGGATTTGATACACCCCAACCTTTTTTCCTATAGGCTTCGCGAACATCTTCACATGAGTTACAACATTGACCATCAGACTACATCGAATAAGGAAATATGTTAGCTCAAAAATTCATAAGAAAACAGCAGATGAACTATATATCTGTAGGAGTATTATACAAGGACAACAGATTCTAAAGCAATCATGTAATTTCTTGCACAGTAAGATAAATGAAGACGTGTTAACAGAAAGATATATGCTAAAGAAACTAAAAATGGCCTGACTCACAGAGATATATTCGATAGCCCCATTAGGTCTGACTTTTGCTCTGTAGTTCATAGGTGTATACAGGACTCAAATTAGGGGTGTTATTGAAAACTTCGCCGAAAAGAGTTTAACATGGCCCAGCTATTGACATGAGCTGACATTATGTATTATGAACTTACGATGTCATCTTTCGCAAGAGCTAGAACTAATGAAAATGTTAATTTAAAGAAAGGCAACCTTACTGAGACCTGGCCAAAAGCGAACAGTAGACTAATAAAATCACAATTCATAGCATGGCTGGGGATATCAAAGTGATTGCGGGTGATATTATGCTTTCAGCTGACCAAGTTTTTTATAAGGTACATAGCATGGCTGGGGAATGGGGATATCATTAATAAGGAGGCAAATGTCACTAGGAAAAATGGCAGAGTCAGCAGATGGTCTCCAAGTCCAAGGATGCCAGAGATAATCAAAATAAATATTGATGGTCCTTTTCTTGCCAATTAGAAGAAGGGCAGTTGGGGTTTTATTGCTCGTGATCATGAAGGCTCAGCGGGGTCATGGCTGGCGCTGGATCAGTAGATGTTGTACATGATGCTCAGTGTGCGGAGATGGTGACTTGGAGGATGGCTCTGGAGGCAGCATCAGTTAATGGTATGATGACGATCGTCATTGAAACAGATTGTTCTTGCCTTGTCAGTGCCCTGAAGTCCACAGCTTTTGATCAAGCTCCTGCCGGTTTCTGGTTTATGGACACTAGAATTTTTATGAGTCTCAATTTCATATTTGCTGATGTGGTGTTTGTACCCCGTGATTGTAATTGGTGTGCTCATGAGATGGCACACCAGTATCTGTACAGGGACCTGGGTGAGCATGTTTGGTTTGACCCCCTCTCGAACTTTGTAACAGCACTTGCACTACGTGGTGTGATGGATCAGTGGTGATTGATCAATAGACAAAGGAGGTGAATTTCAAACAACAACAACAACAGGATTCGTTTAGTCTAAAGTAGTCTATGCAACACAAAAGATAGTAATACAATTGCGTATTTTGTGGGCCAGGGATAGATATTATCTCACAAGAGATAGAAGCATACTTCTTGTGCACCATAACAAGAGCCACAATAGGTTTCATTGTGTTCAAGCCTTCCACCATGATGTTGTAGAGGTGCTTCCATCTGTTGAAAAGGCAAAGGATATGTGCATCTTTAGGTATAACAAAACATGTATGGATTTGAGCAATACAAAACACCTAAAGACAATTCACTTGTGAAGCCAATAAAGTGTTATGTAATGCATCAAGAAATAAGTCAGATATTATGTGCAGAACAAATCACACGCTAAGAAACTAGGACTGTACAAAAGGAAATGTCATAATAATACTCCATATTTGGATTGTTTCAAAGAACCTGACTTTGAGGCAGTGTTGTTATACATTCTACATGCTATAGGTGTGACTTTTAACACCACAAGAGATGATCTCACCTTCATCCCACCAACTGCATCTTGTCTAGTCGCAATAACATTGCCATGGGCATCAATTCGCTGCTTGAATATATCATGTTTCTACATAAGAGCATTAAACTGGAACAAGTTAGTTACCACAAGTCTGCAACCATCAGTTATTGAACATAACCCATAACAGCTAAAAAGCTGAATACACAAATGCATACCACATCTAGGTGCTCCTGTCCACTGATGTCCATTGCATCCAGGCTAATTATAGAACATTGAAGGGCTGGAAAGGTGACATCAATCTGCATTTTAAGCATCAGAAAAGGTAGATGTCAACAAGTGTCTGAACATAAATTAGTATAAATTAGAATGCCAAAGTCATCATGTACGAAATAAGTTCTGGTAAGCCAAGGTCCAGTGTTAGAAAATATACAAGAATGAAGGAACAACTAGCAGGCAAAAAGAGCTTAAAAAGAAATGAGTGTTTGCGAACAGTTGGTAAAGGGTGACAGTGAAATGGTGCAAGAATATAAAAGCTGTACATTACATTTATGCGAAGTGTTTCTCCCCTTGAAGTATCAACCCTTAGCGTTGTCTCAGTAACTGCATGGAGATATAATCCTGCATAGAGAGACATTAACTGGTAAATAAGGACAAATCATGAATAGCAAAAGAATATAAAGTAGTTGATCGGTAGAATGATTTCTTTGGTTAACCTTCTTGTTGGTAGGCTATTCATCCAGTAAAGAAAGCAAACCCAAAGTTTCAAATATCTACACACTAAAAACCTGATATCTAAAACAATGAGAGCAAAAGAGCTCCTCATTTACTTCAGCAAAACATGTGGGTACTAGGTAAACTTAAATCTCATTTTTCCTGCCACAGTGAGTAAATCTGCTTCTGAATTTCTGATGAAAATGGCCCTTACATTCGGCAACAAAGCAACCAAGCACAAAGAGAAACAGCCTTTTATCTCAAATTTTGCACGGAACCAATAATTACGTATGCAAAATTGCGATTTCTAGTTGATATTCTCTACAAGCTTATATAACATGACAGGTCAATGCCTTATTCACTAACCAAAAGAGAACGAAAGTTAACAGCAGAATCTCCCGAGCTTCGTAGCTTGAGTTGAATCCTTGTATAATACAAAGCACAGTAAAATAACATCTTGCGCGGTCGAAATAGGCACTCAATTCCACTCTCGGCAACCCAATTACGCGTGATCAATTCCACCCGCTCCAACAAATCCCGTAACCACGACACCAGATCTCGACGCATCCTGGGGAGAACGCCAGAATCGTAATGCGACAGGGGTCATCATACCCTCATCCATCTAGCACCACCCACGCGGTCAAACCTAACCAGCCGATCTCAGAAACAGGTACAAGGGAAAGGGATCGAGGCGCAGCGGGGAGAACAAGGAAAAAGCGAGACGCGTACGGAGCTCGGAGACGAAGAGGAGGAGCATGACAACGGAGGAGGCGAGCGTGATGATGCCGCCGGAGAGGGTGCTGCTGTAGAAGTCCTCGTTCACCTTGGGGTACGCGTCCAGGCTGCGGAGCTTCGACAGGAGCCCGTCCATGGCGGCTGACGGGATCTCGGAGTCGGAGGCGGAATCGGGCGGAGAGGCCGAGCCCGCCCCTTCCTCGCTATTTCAGTTTTCTTTGGGGGCGCTGAATTAGCGAATTGTCCTCGTCATGAATCATTGAATTGTGTCCTGCGCCTTTGTATAGCGGTATTGGTTTTTTCGCCCTTTTTGGAAAGGTGCAAAAACGTCCACGAATGCTCCCGTTTGACTTCTTGTTTTCACGCCTGAAACTGCTTGACTGGCCGTTTTCCACCGTCAGATTAACCATTCTTCCTAATTCAGCGTGGTACGGTACAATATATACTTCGAAAGCATACCTTCTAGCTTGATTTACATTTTTGCTCTTTGCTCAATAATTTTGATTCAACATCATTTGTAGTGTTACTGTAGTTGAATCCACATCAAAGTACTTTGTCAGCCACAACGGTCTGAGCATAGAACTCGAAACTGTAGAGGGCATAGAGCAAACTCCAAACTCCGATCCATTTTAGGGCTTCATTTTGGCTTGATCAAGCATTCAAGCTTATACAAATTAGCTAACCATTCTAACTGAAGATCGTTCGAGGGACCGTTCCGAAGGAACCGAACGAGTCCTTAGGGCCTGTTTGGAACAAATGAATGCAAAACAGAGGATTGAGAAAAAAACACAGGAATATGATAGAGTAAAAGGTGGGAAACTACAATATTTCAAAACGCAGGAATAGATACTTTGAGCCGTTTGGATTACAGGAATAGGTTTAGATCATCACATGTCTCTAAGCAGCGATTATAGCCATTGATCTATCCTAACCTGGTTTAGGTGCTTTTCAAGTCATTTAGGATATCATTTTTAATTCATCTATAAGCATAGTAGTCTCTTTACTCGACCGTTCTCTCTCCTATATGTTTCTACTTTTTTATCGTCCTAAGCTCTGGCCGTGTGACAGTGTGAACGCAAGTCGCGAGTGACCATGTTGAGCGACCGAGTGAGCGACCAAGCAAGCCATTAGATTTCCATTGAGTTTGAGTGGATGTTTTTTTTCCTACGTTTTATACAGCATAGGAATCATTTCCTTTGGAATGAGATGCATCTTTCCTCCATTCCAAACAACAATCTCCAAAAACTTTCCATAGGAATGCATTCCTTTGAAAATCCTCTGTGATTATTCCAATCCAAACAGGGCCTTAGTGTGAGCATCACATGGCTGACTCTAGACTCTTTAATTTACCCCGTGCACTTGTGCTTCATGTACTTGCCCAGAGAGGCCAATGCATATTTAAGTTGTCCAACAAACACTTGATTAAGCTATAAGCATGGGCGCCCGTTGTCTAGTCTGGCATAGATCCCCGTTCTCCGTGTGCACGGTACACCACATGGTCGACGGTCACCTGCTTCGGTTCTGATCCGATCCAGACTTTCCCGCATCTTGTCTGCCACTTAGCGCGTGTTTAATTTCAGGAATTTGAAATTTAGGGCTACTGTAGCACGTTTGTTTTTATTTGACAATTAATATTCAAACATGGACTAATTAGGCTTAAAACGTTTGTCTCGCAATTTTCCATCAAACTGTGCAATTAGTTTTTTTTCGTCTACATTTAATGCTCCATACATAGGCCGCAAATATTTGATGTGACAGATACTGTAGCACTTTTTGAAATTTTAGGGTGGAACTAAACACGGACTTAGTAATATTTTTTCAGCAGAATACATGTACACTGAACGCCTTTCCAAGCTCTTCTGACTACATATATCACCCTGGAGATCGGATCGATCTGGAAGGCCGGGACGGACGCCGTGATCAGCCTGGCTCTCCGGGCCGCCGACGGCGCCGGCTTCACCATCCTGGACCTGGCCCGGTGGGGCGGGCTCATGGGCGCCGGCCACGACTACTACGAGCGCGGCAACGTGGACATCTTCAGCGGCCGGGCGCCCTGCCTGCCGTCGCCGCCGTGCCGGATGAACCTCACCTCCAACGGCTACGGCCCGCACCACGGCTGGTACTGCAAGTCCGTGGACGTCACCGCCACGGGGCGCCACGACGCCACGTGCGCCAAGGCCGGGTTCGGCGTCGAGCAGTGGCTCGCGAGCGACGCGCCGCCGTACCAGCTCTACGCCGAGCGTAGCTTCTGCGCGAAGAGTGACGCGGATGAGTGATGCTGTCGGAACCGGATGTCACTGTAGTGGGCTTCCAGTCTTCGTGTCATTTCTGTCGTTTTCTTGCGTCGTTTGCTCTTGTTCATGGAGATGTTTGAACTCGGTGGTGGTGTAGCAGGCTAGTAAGGGCCTGTTTAGCTGGTAAAATTTTTTGGTTTTGGGTATTGTAGCACTTTTGTTTGTATTTGACAATTAGTGTCTAATTATGGACTAATTAGGTTCGAAAGTTTCGTCTCGCGATGTCTCATCCAACTGTGTAATTAGTTTTTTTTTTGTTTACATTTATTACTCAATGCATATGCCGTAAGATTCGATGTGATGGATACTGCGCAAAAAATTTTGGGTTTTAGGTGGAACTAAACATGCCCTAACAGCATCTCTGACAAATTACTATTCCATTCCCCATAATACAGAAGATTGTGGCTTCAACAGATGAGTCAGATTACTCATCGTATCCCCAACGCTTAAAAGGAAACGAGGAGAATTCAAGTACCATCACTGAATGCAGTGGATAACAACATGAGAAAATCACAGTCCTACAAGTACAAGTAGGAAAAAGAACAAGACTTATAAATTCAACCAAACAACCTACTTCAAGATGAGAAGAATAAGATAAGGAAACCCGCTTTATTTTGTGGCAATCTTGGTTATTAAGCTAGTGAGTGTGAGGATCACAATTCACAAAACCAAGCAGATCAAAGGAGCAAGGTGGCCTTGGCATTATCCAGTAGAAAGAGCTCATGCACTGTTCTTGCCTGGGAGGTGGCATGCAGACCAAAGAGCAAGATGGACTTAGCATTATCAAACTTAAAACCCCAGAATAATGTCCTGCTCAAATTGCTCGACAAATTTTGCAATCATGCGGACTTTCCTTGGGTGCAACTCGCTTGAAAATGTCTATACAAATCGAATGCTACTACTCCACATGCTGGAAGCCCAGCTGGCTCCTTCTGGTGGAGGGACATAGAATGTAAGCTTGCTGCACTCCAGGCAAAGGATACTCCTTGCTGTTTTGAAAAGACCTTAGGAGCACTGGACCTGCACTTTAGCTTCCCTTAGTTGTTCTCTTTTGCCAAAAAGCCAAACTGCCCAGTGAGATTTTTTCTAGATAATCATTTCAACAGGAACTTCTTCTTGTCACTGTCTCCACAAGCTTCTGATCAACTATTACAGTTCCAATCACCTCTCCAAGGCAAAGCCTGGGACCCTGTTCTCATGACAGCTGGTAATACATTTGTGGTTCACTCCTTCGGCTAAAAGAACATATTTACTATTGTTGGGAACCTTGCTAGTTTCACCTCTTTTCAAATGGCTTTAGAGTTCGACCGTCGTTGGCAAACATAAATTCTGGTTTTGGCTTCTTTTAAGGGGCATACTATGCACCAGAAACTTGCTCAAGAGAAAAAAAAAATCTCTCGATGACTATAATTGTGTTTTGTGCAATTTAGGAGTTGAGGAAACAATCTTTTCTTTGAATGTCCCCTTAAGTCAGTCTTCTTGGACCCCTCTGCTCATTGTCTAGAACTTGTCACTCCAACCGCTGGATATGATCATTGAAGCAAGAAACCAGTTTGGAAGCTGCATTTTCAGGGAGCTAGCCATTACTGCCAGTTGGACCATTATATCTGATAATGGTCATCTGTCACTCCCGGTGGAAATCACATCTTAGGCCTTGTTTGGCTGCACTTGTATCTCCCTCCATCTCAAAATATAGAGCCACAGAGCAATGTATGCACCCAATTGATGCTTAGTGTGCCCTTTTTGTTCACTCTTGCAATCTTGCATGACAAAATCAGAAGAATACTGTATATTACATCTCCCGCAAAATGTTGAGAACTTAAATTTGAGGCATTATCTTCTCTGCTGGAGGGCATATGTCATCTATATTTACCAAACTGGAACATATATAATACAACACAAAACAATCAGATGGATCCTATGGCTGATAGGTACATCTCTTCTGAGTACGCAATGCTGTCCTCAAATCCTCAAATTAGACGGTGATGTTACATCTTTGACATACTACCAAAGATGGTAATAAAGCCTTCATCAGTCGTCATCCTTGAACTCCCTGATTAACCAATCCAAAGAAAATAACCATTAGATATCTCCTTCTGACCAATTTTTATCTTGCTTACATTTATTTGGAACATCGTTCAGGCCAAAAAATGAACTTATGGAGGAAAACATATAGGACCCTTCTCTTCTCATGGGGAAGCATCATAGGGAAAAGTCCCCACATGACAGGTTCCTAAATCATTCACTTCAACAATATGGACCATCTGTGTTAAGCAAATTAGCCTCTCCACAAAGGGCCTCATGTATGAATATCAAATTTTGCGACAACCTACATCTATGCACTATGGATGTGCATAGTTTCACTTTTTTTGAAAACTCCTAAGTCTGTTTTCTAAAGGGTTTTCACGATTCCACCAAGCAGAGTGTTTGCAATGAATATTTTCCCTAGTTCCATTTTGGGAAATTCAATAATATAGATAATGTTGCTCTGAAGTTGTTCATGTATATAAGGCTAGCAGTGATCAAAGGGGAACACGGGTGCTTACATGCAACAGTTTTAGATAAAAGCATATTACCTGCGGTCAAGATAGCGTGGTTGGATCCCAGTGCCTTGGCATGTAGTGCATGTCAAAGAGCCGATGCCCTCGCAGTTGACACACTGTGATTCTTCAGTCTCTCCTGCACCAAGTACTACAGTAACAATGCCCTTTCCACTGCAAAACCTGCATACCTCTGGAAAATCAACAAATTCCATTTAATATTCAGAACCGTTGGATACTGTTTTGTAAAGGAAAAGAGAAGATGCATAGTTACATGGTAGTTATGTATGCATTGTGTGCAACATACCACCATGCCAAGTCCATTATCTATTTCCATCCTGACTAGTTGTCTAATTCACTGAAGCTCATAAAGGGAACTTGCAAGTCCTTTTGGTTCAAGGCTCTCATTGATATTGCAGTTTCAAAAAGGTGAATGTTTGTCATTTCCCGGGATACTCAATAACAGCTTTGCTACCAGAGTACAAACTTAATTGGTGCAGAATAAGTGAACAAGACATAATATGTTTGTATTTCTTAATGCCATCATATTTAAGTATAGATATGGTCATGAAAGGTAGAGGTACAGGGACACATTGCGTATTCGAGAAAGATGAAAGTTGCAGTAATAAACATTACTAAAACTTTGGTTCCGATTTTCTGACTCTGCAGTCTGCAGATGACAAAGCATTTTTCACCCTAGTCCTCTCTTCCTACTATTTTGTAAAACATTAAAAGGTCAGCCAAATAAAATACTAGTGCATAGGAAGAACTAAGATGCATCTTTTCTTTGATTAAAAGGAGAGCCTGGATGTAACCATGATATTTTCATTTTAACAAGGCAATCCTGTGACCAGATTTTGTGTGTTTCATCCAGCCACGTGGTTGTCCCAACAATGTTTAATTACACAACCTGCGCAATCTAAAGTGTCCCAACAATGCTTCACTCAGACATGTTAGAAATGCAAATTGGAATAAAGGAGCTAAGGCAATCTAAGGAGAAGAATCATCACATACGCGCGCCAGAACCACTGCAAGGGAAGCACGGCTGTGTATTCTCCCTCTTTGCCTGCATGAAAAAAAAGGGATCATCATATTATTGCAACCGTTTTATGACTTGAAATAGTAATAAATACTCGTACAGAACAGTGGCAAATACAATTAAGCTTGGATCTTTCAGTTTCAGTTAGCTGCTACTAACTCCCAGCCCAATTAACGTTACTCCCAGTCCAATTAGACAGCAACAGCCTGTGAAGAGCGAACAGGTCGCAAGCAACTTAAAAAATTGGCGAATACTCACGGCATTGTCGATTTGAGTCTCGTAGAACACAGGGACACCTATTCCCACGGCGATGCTGACGACGCCCACCGATATGGCCACAATCTAGAGGCACCGAGAAATCAAGCTCCGCGAGAATCAAGGGCATGGTTAATTTGGGTGGGCATCCGCAGCGTACCGTGTTCTGGTCGAGGTCAATGGCCCGGATGCGAGGGTACCGCGCTCCCGCCCTTCGCCGTCGGGGCAGCGCCGCCATGTAGGGCGAGGAAGGAGTGGAAGAGAGGAAACAGCAGGAGTGGAGCGTTGTGAGCGACGACGTGGAGGAAGCGGCCATGGCTGCGTCGTCCCCCCTACGTCACGCGTTGGCTGCGGACCGGGTCTCCGGAGGGCGGGCGGGCGCGGCGGTGGCCGTGACCCGGTGAGCGAGGGAGGACTGGAGGAGGAGGTAGAGAGACAGCCGGGGGCTCGTGCCGTCGTGGACCATGTGGATGTGGTATTACGCGGAGACGTGGCAGGCCCAGGTGCCAGAGTTCGGATGTGTGGGTGCTCGTGACTGGGGCCGGCCGGGCCTCGGCCCTCGGGACGAAGAAAACAGCGTGGATGCATCGATGGAATTGAGCACCGGAATTTGAGAGGCTGCGGAACTCCCAGATCGGATAATATCCGAAAAGATCAAGGCTGGCCACGAATGCCTGCTCTCCCGATCTCCTTCCCTTCGTCTTTTCTTATCCGCAGTAGTAGCCAAAAATAAATCTCGGCTTCAGTGCGACAAGAGAGAAGCTGATCGTTAACTGTGCTGTTAATCTGACAACCATTGTCGCCATTCTGCTTTGACTGAATACCAACGGGTTGACGGCCATAACTGGTATTAAAGCTGACTGTTAAGCCGGCTGAAGCTAATTTGTTGTGAAAAAAATACTATAGATTCTAGCTGATAAGTCGGCTAATAAGTTCAAACAAACAGGTCTATAATCATATGGTTTATAATAAATAATAGATTAACGAGATTAATCCACTCGCCATTTGCACCGCCATGTCATTTTCCGGTCGACAGTGTACAATGACATGTGTCTATATGTGAAATTGCCAAGATTACTTTTACTTGTCAGATGATCTCCACCCCTTGGATCCGCGCCCTGATCAGGAGCGCCCAACCCTACATGGTTGGTGGGCCCCGTCACATTACGCTATAAAAACAGGGGTGGGAGCCGGCGGCTCTCATCACGAGGTTGAACGAGCTACAGTCGCCCCACCGACATAACCCTAATCCGATCTAAGAGAGGGTGCGCAGCCAGTGATGGAAAGCACCATCACGAGGTTCCCCGCCGCCACTGGACCGCACCTACGACCGCGGACAACACCGCCACTGCACCGCCGCCCTTCACCGCAGCGCCTCTACCGAGTCTTCACCAAGCACCGCTATGGCCAACCCATCTTCTTCGAAGGCGGCCGATGGTTTGCACCTACTTCACCCCTCTCTTTCTCACTCTATCTAATAATCCCGTACTAGTAAATGTTCTAGGACTCACTGTTTATCCTAATTACAAGTAAACATGCTAGATCTATGGCCAGTGATCCTGTTGTACTTCTATCAATGGTATCAGTCGCCTAGGCGTAGATCTAGCCTATTGGAGTAGAAAACCGAATAGCAGCATTTAGAAGGAGGTGATAGATCCGTTTCGGATCTAAGCAGAGGATTCATCGAACCCTAAACCCAAATCAGGTGAAGAAAAGCAGAAAGAAAGGGTCTTGGTTTTAAAAAGCAACTCAAACTCTAACCCTAACCAGCGCAAACAGCCCGAGGAAAAAGAACAGTACGCAACCCTAACCCTATCCCTAACCCTAACCCTAAATCGGACAACTTCCGAGAAGAAGAGAAAGAAAAACTATTCAGAGGGAAGAAGGGGAAAGGGGAAGGGCTTTGGAAGACGGCTTACCTCGCCGCTGCACCGCGTTGTTGTTTTGCCGACGTGCGGGAAGAAGGCCGAGCAGTTGCTCGTCAGGTGCGTGCGAGCTTTGGCCAAGGGCGCCGCCGCTAGGCCGCTCGACGGCGGCGCGCTCACCCGCTGGGGAGCTTACGCGCCGACGAGGCGGCCAGCAACGACGCCATCATCTCTCTGCGCTCTCGCTCTTTCGCTCGGCTGCTGCTGCGCTGAGAGAGGAAAGGGAGAGGGAAGAAATGAATTAGGATTTGGGGGGCGCGGGCTGGCCGGGGGTTTTGATCTCCCGAAGACGACGCCTGGCCGTTGGATCTGGATGGACGGCTGAGAGCGCGTCGGACCAGAATCGGCCTAGGCGTGGAGGCACTTTCTCGGCCCAGGCTCAGGTTACGGCCTGGGCACGAGGGAGGCGCCGCGAGCGCGTGCGCGCGAGCCACTGCCGCTGTCGAGCCGCGCACTGTTGCTGCTGGGCCGTTTACTGCTGCTGCAGGCCGAGCCAAAATGAACATCAAATAATGTTTTAAATTTATTTATTTTCAGAAGCAGATTTGAATGATTTTTGATGAATTTCGAAGGTTTAAAATTTCTGGTAAAATTACACCAACATGTTACTTTTTTCCAGAAAGTAGATATGAATAAGAAAATGCTTCTAAAAAGTAGATAATTATTATTTATTCATGTTTCCGCTGCAATGTTAAAGTTTAGAATCTTCTAATTAAATTTGAACCAACGGGAGAATTTAATTTGAAGAGTAATCAATTTTAATCAGTAAATTATAATATTGTTATTTGTCTGACCAACATTGATAATAGCAATATTATAATGTTTATTCATAAGTTTTTCATGCATTAATTCTATTTCTGCCCAACGATGATATAGAATTAGTGTATAAGAATATTGTATGTTTTAATTTTGACCAACGTTAAATTAAAGCATGCAATTATGATGTCATATTTTCTCACTATCTCTGACGGTGTTTTTCAGGACTCAACCCAATGGCATTCATCTTGCACATACCACCTCTTGAAGGGGACAACTATAGGGTATGACGAGAGAAGTATGAACTAGCACTTGCGCTATCTAAAAATGACCTAGTGCTTACCTTCCCGTATCCTACTGAGCCAGTGGACCCGGTGAGGGAAGAAAATGAGTCTGACACTGATTTCACTGCTCGGCAGTGAGATCATGCAGAAGTGCGGATGAAGTATGATCTCGAACGCAAGAAATGGAATATTTCAAACCGCAAGTGCTTGATGGTGGCTAAGTCCACAATTTTAGATGCAATAAGGGGGTCTATACCAAATTGTGATACCGCCACGGAGTATCTTAAGAAGGTGGAGAGTCAGTTCACTGGCTCTTCAAAGGCTTATGCCAGTACATTGATCAAGAAATTGTTCAATGAAAAATATATTGGTGGCGATATCAGAGAGCACATACTGAAGATGAGCAACACGGCTTCGAAGCTGAAGCCAATAGATTTAGGGCTCAAGGATGAGTTCCTGATTCATTTGGTTTTTGCTTCCTGACCAAAGGAATATGAAACATTTGTTGTTAACTACAACATGCAGCCTGACAAGTGGGACATAGAAAAGCTCATCGCAATGTGTGTTCAAGAAGAGGAGAGGCTGAAATCCTTACAGGGTGACTCTGCTAACCTTGTGAAGGACAAGAAAAAGAACTTCAATAAGAATGCAAAACTTCAATGGAAAGCCCCTTAAAATGACCACCATCCAAAAAACAACAATGCTCAAGTTGAGAAGGATCGGTGTAAAGGTGCAAGAAGCATGGACACTATCAGAGGGACTGTCTAGACTTTCTAAAGAGCCTGCCGAAGAGAGGTGAGGATTTCATTATATTCATAGATGAATCATTGTATTTAAGTTATGTAAAATCTACTTGGTGGATTGATTCAGGTGCAACTGTTCACGTTGCAAATTCATTACAGGGATTTCGTACGAGGAGGATCCTGCAAAGAGGAGAAAGAAGAATTAAAGTAGCAAATAGAGTTGAAGCTCAAGTTGAAGCCATTGAAGATCTTTCTCTAGAATTAGTTGATGGTTTTCTACTTAAGCTTTCAGATATTCTATTTGTACCCTCTTTGCGAAGAAACTTAATAAATGTTTTATGTTTAGATGACGATGGATATGATTGCCATTTTAGTAATGGCAAAGGTCAGATTGTTTATAATAATAAATGTGTTGGTCTTGCTTTCGACAAGACAAGCTTTATTTATTATCACTTTCTGAGAATATGAATGATGTAAGTATTGAGAATGAGAATGCCTCTTCGTCTATGAATGCCACAAATAAGCAGAAGAGAATGCATAATGTATCTTCAAAATTATGGCACTGTCGTTTAGGCCATATTTCGAGGGGGAGGATAGAGCGATTGATTAAGAAATCAATTCTTCCACCATTAGAATTTTTAGATTTTGAACAATGCATAGATTGCATAAAAGGAAAGTACGTTAAAAAAATAAAGAAAGATGCCAAACGAAGCGCGGGAATTTTAGAAATAGTTCACACAGATATCTGTGGTCCTTTTCCTATGAAGAGCGTGGATGGTTATGATTCATTTATAACATTCACAGATGACTATTCTCGTTTTGGCTATATTTATCCAATTAAGGAAAGATCGGAAGCATTGAATAAATTTAAAATATTCAAGGCTGAAGTAGAAAATCAGCACAACTTAAAGATTAAGGTAGTAAGGTCTGATTGTAGGGGAGAGTACTACGGTCGACACACCCCATATGGCGAAGTTCCTGGACCCTTTGCAAGGTTCTTACAGGAAAATAGCATAGTAGCCCAGTATTCTACACCGGGCGAGCCTCAGTAGAATGGAGTAGCTGAAAGACGCAACCGTACCTTAATGGATATGGTGAGAAGCATGATAAGTTACTCTACCCTACCAATAAGTTTATGGATGTAGGTGTTAAAAACCGCCATTAATATACTTAATCGAGTGCCAAGTAAATCGGTGCCCAAAACACCGTATGAGTTATGGACAGGAAAGGAACCCTCACTAAACTATTTACGTGTGTGGGGTTGTCCAGCTGAGGCAAAAGTATTTAACCCAAACATAGAGAAGCTGGACTGCAAGACAGTTAGTTACCATTTCATTGGCTATCCAGAAAAGTCAAAAGATTATCGCTTCTGTTGTCCTGATAGACAAACGAAGTTTGTAGAAACAAGGCATGCTATCTTCTTGGAGGATGATATGATCAGGGGGAGCATCGTAGCGTGAGAAATTAGTTTTGAAGAGAAGCGGGTATACGTGCCCACTCGTATAGTTCAGGAGCCATTCTTCACGCTACCTGTTATTGCTGTACCAACAGTGTAAGACACTGTAGTAACAACACCTGTTGTTAGTTCTCCTGTAGCAACAATGAATG